TTTTTTTCTAAACATAAGTTTTATTGTTTATTTGTTGTAAATATTGTTTTGTTTTCCCTAACCTCTTCCTGTAGGTACTAAAAAAACAAAACAAAAACAAAACAAAAAAACACAAAAAAAAAACCAAAAAAAAACCTCCACAAAAAAAAACTACAAAAAAACTGAAAAAGAAAAATTTCCTTTGAGTCCCTTTACTCTTGAACACTTATTGGACATGGACATATTGGACATACCTGAACATATTGAACTATCCCACAGGTCGGATTTTCCGCCAACGGTTATTGGACATTTTTTTCTTTCTTTATTTGGCCCGCTGACCGGAAAAGCCGTTTCAGGGTTTGTACATTTAATTACTGCACTTTACATTTCTGCATTTTTTCTTTCTTTCTTTTTTTCTAGGCGTGCAAAGCCGCTATTGGACATTATATCTATATACTATATATTATATATTATATCTACTAGATATACATATACATATACATATACATATACATATACATATACATATACATATACATATACATATACATATACATATACATATACATATACATATACATATACATGAGATGGCTGGAGTTTCTCTCTCCTCTTTTCCAGCGACCGGAAACCACCCCGGAAACCTCATCTCCTATCATCATCCTAAATGTAAAACCCTGTTTGTGGATCTCATCAATGGTGACTTCACAAACAACCCGGGTCAGGTGAATGGTCTCTACAATGGTGCGCCGTCGATCATTTTTTCAGCTGCGGAAGAAGAGTTCCTGGCCGGAAAGTTCAGCAGAGCCCTCATCCGAAGGAGCAAAGAAAGAATCTCACTCTCAGCTTTGGAAGACTTCCTGGTCAGAGGCGGCTTCAAAGAGTTCAAACTGCGACGGTTGGGTAACTTCGAGGTCCTGTTCATCTTCAAACAAGAAGATGACTACCAGAGGTGGTTCTACAGGAGAAGATGGAACATCCAAGGAATTCTTCTCACCATTTGCAAATGGTCCCCAAACCATTCCCCCAATCATGACAACCCCATTTCTCCGCTTTGGGTCGAGGTCTCCCATGTTCCGGTCCACCTCAATGATCATAGAGCTCTCTTCACCATTGCATCCTCCTTAGGTCGTCCTATCAAACTGGATGCAAAAACGGTCATTGGAGCTACGCCAGGGAAGGTGAGATTTTGTGTTGAAATGGATGTTTCAATTGCTCTCCCCCCCAGGATCCACGTTTGGTTAGGGGAAAGGGATATTTGGCTTCTATGCAAATATGAACAGGTGATGGATTACTGCGCCTCTTGCTCCGGGTTTGGCCACGCAAAAACTTCATGCCGGAAATGTCCTCAGATCCTCTCCGGCAATGCTCCGGCCGGTGAGGAAAAGTTCACAAGAGTTCAACAGAGGGTGGGTCAGCACACAAATGGATGGGAAAAGCCAAAAGGAAGAAGACGGAAGAATTAGAAGTCTAGTGGAAAGACAGGCCCACAAAAGCCACAACCTTCTTTCAGGAAAATTCATAAACCCCAAGACAAAAACCTCCCCCACCCTACCCAAGTCGCTAGTAAGGCCCCGTTCCGTTCAACTTATTTTTTTCTTATTCTTATTAAAATCAGATCAGATCAGATCAGACCAGATCAGATCCAATCAGATTAGATCAGATCCAATCAGATCAGATCAGATCAGATCCAATCAGATCAGGACTTATTAAAATCAGATCCCATCAAGAATTATTATTAATATTATTATTAAACTTGTTATTATTATTATTCTTATTATCATCATCATCATTATTATTATTATTATTATTATTATTATTATTATTATTATTATTATTGTTCTTAAAAATGAAAAAGAATAAACTTTAGAAATAGGTTAAATAGAAACCGAGAAAGTAATCCTTAATTATTAGACGTTGGAAAAATTAGTTTTAAAATACATTGACAATGTCAATCTAATTCTACTTTTAAAATATATCTTTATTGCTACTTGTAATTTGAGTTTCTAAACTTTTGATCTTTTATAAGGATGATATATTTTAATAAAAATATTATCTCTTCTATATATTGATTATCTAAATTTAATTACTTTTTAATGTATATCTAAATTAAATATTTATTCTAATGTATAATTCTAATTTTACAAAAAAATACTCCCTCCGTCCCCAATTTGATTACAAATTGCGGGTTACGGAGTAAAATTTCATATTTTTTGAAATCATTTTATTTACAAATTGGTATATCAATAAGGTATAAAAATTATAGATTAAAAAACTACGTCAAAAGTTCTACGAAACAAGAGATGACAAGAATATTTTATTTTGTCAAATACTTAATGAAATCGTGTAAACAAACAAAAGTTATCGAGAGAAGAGAAAAAAAATTGTAATCCATTTAGGGACGGAGGGAGTAATCATAAAATAAAAAATATTATTACATTATAATATGAATGATTATTCTAATATATGAATTAACTATTTTTATTTTATTAAAAAATAATCATTAAATAAAAAAATATTGATTATATTATAATATGAATTATCATTACAATTTTCAAACGTTATTATAAAGTCAAATTAAATGATTGATTTGAAATTTTAAATTAAATCATAATTAATCAGATCAGATCAAATCCAATCAGATCCAATCAGATCAGATCAGATCAGATCCAATGAGATCAGATCAGATCCAATCAGATCAGATCAGATTAGATCAGATCAGAACTTATTAGAATCAGATCAGATCAGAAAAAATAGGTTGAATGAAACGGAGCCTAAATCCATATCAAATAGTCCAAAGGCCCTGGGCAACCCTTGGTCCACTCTCTTGCCTATTGTTGAAGATGCTAGTGATGAGGAATTTTCAGGTACTGGTGGGACCGTTCTCAACCCTGCGACAAGAAGCCACATCAGTAGTGAAGTGGTAAATCCAAATCTTATGGATGGTCCTAACTCCTTTCCTGATCTCTCTTTCCTTGAAGTGCCATATAACTCATCATGTATGGCTATCATCCCTTAGGTTCCCCATGATCCAGCCTTGGCACCCTGCACACTTGCCTCCCAATCTATGGGAAGTTTGGATGATGGATGGATTGGGACTAGGTTTGAAGTTGGAGAAACCTCCTCCCCTTTGGATACCCCCTACGGCTGTCACTCTGAAGGTGGGAACGAGGAAACCCCTTTTGACACCTCAGAACTACTGCCTTTGGCAATGGACATCCCCAAAGGTCCCAAATCTTCATTGCCTCTGCCAAGATGTCCCAGAGTTAAACCCCCCCCCCCTCCACCTGGGGTAACTACTAGAGGTATAAAGAATAAAGGAGTATCCCTCAATCCATTCTTATGAAGCTTCTTTTTTGGAATGTCCGTGGAGTTGCCTCTTCACTCGAGAGACTTATCTTTATAAAGAGGACTCATTCTCTTGATTTCATGTGTATTATAGAACCTATTGTCAATGCTCAGAAGCTTGACACCTATCGTATTAATTTGGGATTTTCTAATGGATTTGCCTCCAGCAATAATAAGAGATGGATTTTCTGGAACCATGATTCTCTTATCATGTCAAATTGTTCGGATGAACCTCAAGTCACACACTGTGATTTTCTTCTCCTTCAAGATAGCAGACCTCTTACCATCTCCTGCATTTATGGCTCCCACTCGATTACAGATAGAAGACTGCTTTGGATTCAGCTTCAATCATTTTGTCCTTTGAATAAAAGATGGATTTTGGGAGGTGACTTTAATGCTATCTTATCCCTTCAAGATGCAAAGGGACAATGCACCCCTAATGATCAAAGTATGGAAGATTTTAACAGCTGCATCTCCAACTGTAAACTACACTGTCCAGACCCTACGGGGGGTATTTTTACTTGGTCAGGTGTAAGGAGTAAAGGTAGAATTTGGAGAAGGCTTGATAGAGTGTTAGTTAATTTGGATGTCCTTGCCTCTTTCAAGGATGTGGATCTCTCCCATCTTCCAAAAGCTAACTCGGATCATAAGGCCTTACTTCTTCACTGTCATGATCAACATCATTCTGGTGCCAGGCCTTTTCGCTTTATAAATTCATGGACTCATCATGACAATTTCAAGGAAGTTGTTAAAAACTCCTGGGAAAGCAGTTTGGAAATATTTTTGAACAAGCTAGGAAAGCTGAAGAGTATGCATCATTAACCCAGGAAGCCTATGATCTAGATCCCACTGATAGCAAAAGAGAAACAGCCCAGCTGGCCAATGCCAAACTTATCCTGGCAGTTAAAAAGGAGGTGGAATATTGGAAGCAAAAGGCCAATATTAAGTGGTTAGAAAAGGGAGATACTAATTCTAAAGTCTTCCAAGCTTATGTTAGAGGAAAACAGAAGAAGCTAAGCATAAACCACATCATCTCCAAAGAGGGGAAAGGCATTCACAATAAGGAGGAATTAAAGGAAGAAGCCATCAATTTCTTTAAGGCCCAATTCTCAGCTGACCATTGCCCAAACCTTGAACCCATTCTCCAACATATTCCAACCCTCATTACAGCTGAGGATGATGCCTCCATCACTGCTCTTCCAAATTTGGAGGAAGTTAAACATACCATCTGGGAGATGGATGCAAACAGTACAAGTGGACCGGATGGTTTCAATGGTACCTTCTTCAAATGCTGCTGGGATATTATTCAGCAGGATGTCCTCAAAGCCTCTCAGGATTTCTTTCTAGGCATGCCAATTCCCAAAGGGTATGGGAGCACCTTCCTCACTCTAATCCCAAAGAAATCCCAACCTAAAACCTTTGATGACTTCAGACCTATCTCCCTTTCCACTTTCATGAGCAAAATCAACACCAAATTGCTGGCTAACAGGCTCAAAAATCTGCTGCCTAAAATCATAGCTGAAGAACAAGCAGCATTCCAGAAAGGTAAAGGCATTGAGGACCATATCCTAATGGCTAAAGAGGCTATTCACCATTTGGACAGGAAAGTATTTGGTGGAAATCTCATCGTCAAAATTGACATGGCCAAAGCTTTTGATAGAATGGACTTGTCTTATTTAGAATCCATTCTTAAAGGCTTTGGCTTCTCCTGTTTATCAATTAAGCTTCTCATGGCAAATCTGAAATCCACCTTTATCTCCATTCTTCTAAATGGGGAGCCCACGGGTTTCTTCCAAATGACTAGGGGAGTCAAGCAAGGTGACCCACTATCCCCTCTTCTCTTTATCATAGGAGGGGAAGGCTTTTCAAGGCTCCTGAACCACCACTTGGAAACAACTTTCATTAAAAGATACAACATGGGTTCCTTCAAATGGGTGGGACATCTAATTTATGCCGATGACCTTATAATTTTCACCAAAGGAGATACCAGGAATCTCCTCAGATTGAAGGGTGTGCTGTTGGATTATTTAGGGGCCTCTGGACAGCAGATAAACTACAATAAAAGTCACTTTTATTGCTCCAAAAACACTTCCAAGGAACAGATTTCACACATTGAGAAGATCCTTGGCATGACGAATGGTTCCTTCCCTTTCACCTACTTGGGTCGGACAATCTGTAAAGGTGTTCTTCGAAAGGAACACTGCTTCAGCCTACTGGAGCATTTTGACAACCACATTTCTTCTTGGTATAGCAAGATTCTTAATCAAATGGGACGCCTTATCCTCATCAAACACGTTCTCTCTTCCATTCCTTTACACATCATGGCGGTTCACACTCTGCCAAAATCCATCCATGCTAGACTCAATACTTTAATGGCCAATTTTTACTGGGGCAGAAAGGTGGTTGGCCTAAATACCACTGGATCAAGTGGTCTGACTTATGTCATCCCAGAGAAGCAGGGGGGCTAGGGATCAAAAACTTTCTAACATTGGAGGAAGCCTATGGAGCTAGACTATGGTGGAAAGTCCACAATGATTCAGGGTTGTGGCCATCCTTTATGAAAGCCAAATACCTCAAGCAGGGTTGTGTTAGGGAAAGGCTAACGGATTCACCCACATGGAAAAGGATATGTAGAACTCATGCTTTCTGCACCCTTTTCGCCAATGGTGAACCTGGCTCCATGACATGGAACAATGGACCTTTTTCTCTTAAACATGCCTACTCCCTTAGAGAGGAAGGTCACAATAACTCCTTCACTTCCAGATTTGTTTGGCATAAGACCCAAATTCCTAAAGTGAGGATTTTCATTTGGAAATGTCAAACAGGCTGTTTATCATTTCCCAAAAACCTCAGGCGTTTCAATCTCATGCTCCCTAGCATATGCCCATTCTGTGCACTTCATGAGGACTCCCTGGATCACACACTCCTCAATTGCCAATTCAGCAAACATATTTGGGACTACTTCAGTGATTTGACAGCTGGACCTTGTACTCATCTCCCCTCACATTGCGGCAATACATGCTTCTATGGTGGATTTCTGGAAACACCAGGAATTTCAAAGGTTGTGCTAGATTGATCTTACCAGGCATCATCCCATGGTGCCTTTGGAAAGCAAGGAATCTGGCCATATTTGAAGGGAAAGAGACTGCAAAGGAAGAGGTTATTCAACAATGCTTCAAACTCCTTCAAGATTGGTGCTGGGTCAATAGGAACAAAAAATGGATGTGTCATGATGCCGCCTTCAATGGCTGGGGGCTCAACCATTTCTGGAGGACCGGAAAGAATTTCTGTTTTTAGTGTTTTTATCTCTTCTCATGCTTGTAACGGTTCTCACTCTCTTTTTATTCAATAAAACACCTCCTTTTAAAAAATATATATATATTATATCTACTATTTTCTTTTTTTGAGTTTTGGTTAGAGGTTTGCTAAGGGGTTTAGGATATTTTATCTTGTTAGGACAACAAAGTTTGAAGAAATTGATAACCTCGTTCTCATGTGATTCTTGGGGATCTAACAAGTCTTCTTCTTCGACCCAGCCTATCGGATTAATTTTCCTTCCTTTCTCAAGGATTTTAGCCTTAAGAAGCAGACTCAATTCACTGACTATGGTTACGATGAAGAGATTGAATATGCTTATTGATAGACCTGCAGTTATAATTATTTCTCTAACCACTCTTTTGAGTTTTGCTTGTTCCTTAGTTACTGCATTCTGGTTTCCAAGTCTATGATTTGGAGTTGCAGCTTATCCATTTCAAAACATGAGATTTACATCTCTTAACAATGCCATTGCCTTTGGGTAAGTTCCTGGTGGGATTCACAGCTGTGTTGGGGTCTACCACAATGCTGTAACATTATGCACATAATGATGGAGGCTGTTTTAAGGGAGAGGGACCTGCATTTGAATTTTGTGTAGTACTCTGTTGGTATATACTTTGGATGGTCCATATATCTCCTTCTTATGGATCCACTACTACAAAACTATTATTTAATAGCGCACTTTAAACATCGGATATATGGAAACCGCTGTCTAAACCAATATCTATTAATCGGGTGCTTTACCAAACCAGAGCCACGCGTTGAATTCATATTTTTAAACTTTTACACATCGCATTTCACCAATTCACCATATTCGATGTCTAAGAGCATCTCCAATGGAGAGTGGATAAAATTGCAAGCTATAAGTTAAAATAGCTTATACATAGTGTTTTAGCTTTCAAAATTTCTTGTTACTTTCCAATCATATCAGGTATAATTTAGACTTCTCGTATAATAATACTCCTTGCTCCCTAATTATTTGATTGGACATTTCATCAAACAGGTTCTATGCAAGACTGAACACTCATCATCCACTTTTCTCTCAAAAATTAGCAACCAAATACGGAGTAGTTAACTGAAAAAGAAGAAATTAGATCTATATATAGTTAATTGAAGAACTTCACAAAGAAGAGCAATGGAAGGAAGATTGACAGAAGATAGATAGGAACCATTGGTTAACAAATGTCAGTGGTTGGAAGGGGGGGAGCTAACAAGATGATGTACAGAGTACTAGAATTTATTTAAAAGTAAGAAAACAAATTTTTAAGGATATAAATGATCTACAGTGTAGTCTATTTATAGATGATGAAAAACCAAATATAGACTACAGTGTAAAAAATAGACTATCCATTGGAGACCACTTTTGATTACAGTAAAAGCTAAACCCTCTATTTTTTGCACTTTGCACTGCCCGTTGGAGGTGCTCTAAAGCTCTACTCAAAATCTTATACTTGCGCATCCCTCTTGTTTTTACGCTAGCGTCAACTCCTCTCTTCCTGCACATCCCTAGATTGCAATTCCTTTTGTTTTTGTGGATCGATTTCTGTAAATGTTGTTGCTGTTGAATGGAAATTGTCTGGGGAACATGTTTCCAAGCTCAATTTTGGTGATTTGGGGCCTTATTTTGCTGAATTGAAGGGTAACTCCCTCGCCATGACTGTTCATCTTCAAAACTGCAAGTCTGATTTCCTCTTCGTTCATGCTCAATTGAAGGCCTTTTTGTTGGGAATCCTAAGGGACTTGGTAAAATCTCTCATAATTTAAAGTTATTTTTCATTTCCATACAAAGATTTGCGAGATTGGAGCAATTTTAGGGTTTCACCATTACTGTTCACAACGAGGTGGCCATCCCAAAATTCTCAGGTTTTAGCTTGTGGTTTTGCCAATTTTTTGGTATTTTATGGACATGATTTAGGGGCCTTTCATTGCTTAAAGTTGAATTTCATTTTCAATTACTAGTGTTGAACCCTTGAATTCTTTGTTCTTCGCCATTTTTTGTGTTATTCGTTTTCTAAATACTGCTTTGTGCTATGGTTTTCTTTGCTTTGTGCCGCTGCATTTTGTTGTGCCTCTTTGTTTTTACTTTTATGGGACACTAAAGTAAAGAAGAATACAAACAAAAATAACCACAAAAACCTATCTTCCCCATCTCCAGTATTCGACGCCATATCCTCCCACCTTCGAGAATCGACGCCATCTCCTCCATCTTCGAGAATCGACACCATCTCCCCCATCTTCGAGAGTCGACGACATTTCCCCCAATTCCAGTAATTGATTTCATTTGAAGAACTAGTCGCAGACCTTCCATTGTCTGGGCACAAACTATTCTCTACTGCTGAAGGTATTTTTCTATGTCTTCTTCTTCTTCTTCTTATTCTTCACATTATGGCCCTATTTTGAGTTAGAGGCTGGTTTCAATTTTGTTCGATTTGGAGATTCTAATTCTTTATGTTTATTGAGCGAAAAAAATTATTTTTGTTTATAATTTATGTTTTAGGTTTTGAGTTTGTGTATTAAGATTTAGTTTCTAGGGATTCTTTAATATCTCATCCCATGTTTGAATATTCCTTTTATGTTCAGTATATGTGCAAATATTTCCATAGATTCCTTTTATGTTCAGTATATGTGCAAATATTTCCATGGATTCCTTTTATGTTCAGTATATGTGCAAATATTTCCATGGATTCCTTTTATGTTCATTATATGTACAAATATTTCCATGGTTGAATATAAACTTTAGTATTACACCTATTTTGTGACTTCTGAGCTACTTTTTTCTCAAGTTCTATGAGTTCCAACACTTTAATTTCTAATTTTTTACTTATTTATGTTGAATAATATCGCATCTCAATTGCTAATGACACTCCGATTTTCTATGGTTCAGTTGGCAGTGGTTTCTAGTTTGGATTATTATTTGCTATTGGTTTAGTGGGCTGATGTTTTACAGTTGGGTACATGCTTGTTCAGTTGGCAATAGTTTTCTGGTTTTCACTTGGCATCAGGCTTGGATTTCTGTTTGCTGTTGGTTCATTTATCTATGCAATTCACTTAATAGTTCAATCAGTTATGTTGTTGGTTTTAGGTTTTTGTAGAATGTTGGAACAGCCATGAATATGTCCTCCTCCTCCACGTAAGGTCACAAGGTAACCCGAGTGGTGAAGTCCAGGAGCCACCACAACTGCACCACAAGAATCTGCCCCTGCCCATACCTGGTCAGCGAGCAAGTCAAACACCAAACAGGCTTAAATCAGGTTTCAAACAAGAAGCATTCAGCATTCCTCCATCAGACCAGCAAGCTTATTTGATTGAAACAGAATTTAAATACCAGGGGGTTACTTTGAATCATCGCTTATGTGGTAGTGAAACATTGGAGTTCAAGGCTTAACAATGGTTCCATAAGTTGCTGTTCTAAGAGTACATGAAGAGGTGCACCTCGTGATAAAGAAGCCCAATTCAGCCCAAGGGATCACCTGCCACAACAAGAATTGTGCTCACTGCCCAAACCCATCTAAAGCCCCAAAACAAATCCAGCAGTCTATCAATTTTGAGACAACGCAAGTTCAAAACAGCAGCCCCAAGTAGTAGTGTGGCTAGAGATATTGGGCAATGAACACTAATCTCCCCATGAAGTCAAATAATCGACCAAAGGTGTTGAAGGATAAAAGAGATCAGGAACAGCTAGTGGGGACCCAAAGGTGTCACTGCCCATCACTAAAAATTCAGGAATTCAGAGTCTAAAAACCAGCGAGCAGTCAGTTTAGGGCTCAAATGCCAATTTCAGGTTATGGGTTGTGTCCTATTCATCAGCACTTAACCATTACAGCTCCATGAACAAACCAGTAGAGCCTGGGCAGTCCTAGCCGAAGCAATGCAAGGAAGGCAGTGAAGAACAAGGCTACAGACACCAGCAGGTTTATGATGCAATTTATCACACACAAGCTCAGTTGGTTATCTTAGGATTTAGCTTCTAAATATGGTTGTTGGTTATCAATTCTTGGGTTTGGTTTCAATTTTGTTTTACCAGCTTTGGTGTATGTTTATCTAGGTTCGACTATGATATGTAGCCCTTGGTTTTGGTTTTTAATTGGGATATGTTTTTTATGTAGGGAATAGTTTTTAGCTTTTCTTGAGGGGCTTTGGTTTGGTCCTCCCCTATTGTACTTGTTTCTCTATTTCATTTAATAAAAATACTTTCATAAATAAATAAATAAATAAATATCAAAAGCTTTCTCCATATCCAACTTGATAATGAAATTACCTCCTCTGACCTTAGCATCAATTTTATGAACCATTTCCTCCACCAATAGGATTTGTTCATCAATGCCTTTTCCTTGTTGAAAGCCAGTTTGTTCTTTAAAGATAATTTTGGAAAGCACTTTTTGAAGCCTGTTACCAAGGATTTTAGTGTTTACCTTGCTCATGAAAGTGGACAGAGAGATGGGTCTGTAACATTAAATGTCTTGGGGTTAGTCTTTTTTGGGATAAGGCTAATAAATGTGCTGCCATAGGATTTTGGGACAGGGGTCCCCAAGAAAAATTCCTGTGAGGCACTGATGACATCAGTTTTGATTAGATTCCAAGTGGACCTGAAAAAATTTCCATTGTAACCATCCGGACCAGATGCACTACCTGGATCCAAACCCCAAATAGCTTCTTTTATTTCCTCCTCAAGGGGAAGTCTACAGATTCTTGAATTATCTTCATTTGAGATGGAGGGTTGAATGAAGTCCAGGATAGGCTGAGGTTGAGTATGTGTAGGACATCCAAAAAGTTTCTTGTAGTGATTAACAGCAATGTCCTTAATCTCCCTCATGTTTGAGATCTCTCTCCCTTCACTGTTAATGATAGTTCTAATCTTGTTATTGGCTCTTCTGCTTTTCACATAACCATGAAAAAATTTGGAGTTGCAATCCCCATCAGTGTACCATTTGAGATTTGCCTTTTGCCTCCAAAATAGATATTCTTGATTGGTAGCTTTGATGAGCATGGCTTTGGCCTTATTGTCTTCAGATCTGTTGATAGGAGAGGGTCGTTCTGATACTTATCTTGTGCTCTTTGAGCTTCATCCTCAGCCATCTTGAGATTGTCAAAAATATTACCAAAAACTTCTTTGTTCCAATGATTGAGAGCGTTTTTTAGTCTTTTGAGTTTAATGCCAAGTCCATACATACCCGCATGGTTGTGGTCATATCCCCAAGACTCCTTAACCACTTTAAGAAACTGCTCATGAGTAGTCCAACAGTCTAAGAACCTGAAGGGTTTGGGACCTGAGAAATCATCAAAACTACAAGTAATAACCAAAGGACTGTGATCTGAACTGGTTTTGCTAAGATGGTTAACAACAATGTCATCATAGAAATCCTGAATGAAGTGATTAATGAGGATCCTGTCAAGTCTTNCAAGACTCCTTAACCACTTTAAGAAACTGCTCATGAGTAGTCCAACAGTCTAAGAACCTGAAGGGTTTGGGACCTGAGAAATCATCAAAACTACAAGTAATAACCAAAGGACTGTGATCTGAACTGGTTTTGCTAAGATGGTTAACAACAATGTCATCATAGAAATCCTGAATGAAGTGATTAATGAGGATCCTGTCAAGTCTTCTAAAAACCACCCCATTGCTTCTGGTCCCAGACCAAGTAAAAGGAGAACCAATAAATGTAGGATTAATAAGGTTGCAAGATTGGATACGATCCTTAAATTCATCCATGTCTCTTTGAATAGGGATAGATTTGCCTTTATGTTCATTCCATTCAGCCACAATATTGAAATCCCCTCCTATTATCCATTGCCCATTTGGTTGTAGTGTGTTCATATATATTCATATATATATATATATATATATATATATATATATATATATATATATATATATATATATATATATATATATATATGTATATGTATATGTATATGTATATGTATATATATATATAGTTTTTATTTAGATTTTTTAAGGAATACATATCGGATAACTATGGCTTTTCCCATCGTAAACTATCTGTTGTGCATGCAACCGATGTGAAAGCCTTCTTGTTTACACAGCGGTTAAACATCCGCTGTGTAACGTTTACGCAGCGGATAATATATCCGATGTGTAAACTTTACAAACTGGATATTTATCCGCTATGTAAACATGAAGGCTTTCCCATCCGTTGCATGCACATCGGATATTTTGCGATGGGAAAAGTTATATTTATCCGCTGTGTAAAGTCTATTTTGTAGTAGTGATCTTTACTTTCTGTCTTTTTCTTTATGAATGTATCTCTCTGTTTCGGCCTTTGTGTAGGGGTCGGCCACCCCTCTGCAGCTGTACTCTTTTTCCTTTTTTTAATAATATATTCACTTTTCCTTATATATATATATATATATATATAGAGGAGAATATTTAGTTATTTTATTCGGATAAAAGCAATTGTTACATCACATAAAATTGCGCCCCTAACATTACGGGGTAAAGTACTGAAATGAGAGTAGTAAGTATATGAGCAAAACTTAAGTGCATGTTGGGCTAGGTTGTGGGGAGCTGTGATTTCTTCTCTGTAAATGTGGCAAACTTGTCCGCCTGATGTTGCTATAATAGCTCTGACCGTGGTGCAATCAGCATTTTCATTGTGTGGATCTTGAATTTTTTGTACGCAGTGTTTGGAGTCAATGCGTAAGTTAATAGGTGTGTTGAGGTGTGTTGTGCGTCTTACCCCAAATAATGCCGCTTGTAGTTCTCCCTCGCCTGGCGACCTTATGCCCTCCAGTCTTGTTGTCCAAGCGCCTAAGAAATCTCCTTTTCTAGTTCTAATGATTGCCGCTCCAGTTGCTCTTGTGCTTCCAATGGCTACGTCTGTGGAAATCACGATTCCTCTTGTGGGCGGTTCCCAGTTGAAGATCTTAATTGCCGGGGGGGTTGTTGTGGGGAGCTTGATTCCAAATCTAAAAATTTTGCTTTTTGATATGCTTGCAATCCATTCATACATTTTGTTGGTGATATGGGAGATTATTTGGGTTTCAGTTTTCTCTTCATTCTGGAAAAATCGTCTATTCCGCTCCTTCCAAAGCTCGTGTGCAATGATGCCGGGTACGATATTGCGCAGATGTCTATCATGTTTCCCAAGTCTTCCTTCTTTCCACCAGTTTGTGAGGTAGCTCCTGATACCATGGTTGATTGCCCTTCCTGTATGGAAGTATGCTTCGAAGTAGTACCAGATTTGTTTGCTATAGCTACACTGAAGAAGAGCATGATTGTCAGTTTCCTCTTGGTTCCTGCAAAATAAACAAATTGAGGGGAGATGAAATCCCATCCTTGTTAGTTTATTGGGGAAAGGGAGATAACCAAAACAGAGTCTCCATAGAAACATTGAGATCTTAGGAGATTGGTTTTTAATGTTTGCCATTGCCATGAATGGATGTTGGGGAAGTTTCTCTCTCAGGGAATTCTTAGCCTTCTTCATGGTAAACCCCTCCTCTCCAGTGAACCAAATGAGTTTTCCGTTGTCAATATAGGCTTTGTTATTGGCAATCTCATTGCTGTGACTTAGGCGTTTCCAGATAGGAGAGTCAGTTGCTTTTAGAGGGGTGTCAAGCTCTCTTGGGTATCTCTTCCGCATGAATTTTGCCCAATAGGAATTATTGCATTGATAGGACCACCACATTTTGAGATCGTATGCTTCGTGAATTGTGTGAAGGCTATAACATCCTAGTCCTCCTTCCTCTTTTGGTAGGCAGATCTTATTCCATGAAGACCAATGATATTTATTCTTCTCCGAGTTATTACCCCAAAGGAAGGTGTTCATTTTGGATTCAAGGAGAGTAATAACACTCTTTGGTAGTTTGCTGCAACCCATGATATGAAGTGGTATGGCACTAA